CTATATTAGATTGTCCCGGATGTCCTCTCGTTTCATTTTGAAATTATGTAAGTTTGCGTATTCTCAACTGGATTGCTTCTTTGTAATATTATTGAAAAAAAAAACAAGTCGTTGGCCTTCAAACGACGTCTTGCCTAGCTTCTACTTGTGACTGACTGCAGAAATAACAATGGATAAAGAAGACCGTTTAGGCTTTGATCATTTTAAGTTAGGCCGCCAAGAATATGGAACGCTGCGTAAAATTCTGAAATATCAGTATATGCAATTTTTGATCTACTCTATTGTGGTGAACTCGAAATTAATAACTTCTCACAAAGATGTCCAAACAGCACAAACTTTTTACAGTTGCAAAGAGTAGGTAAAAAAACGTACATACTGTTTCTGATGATTTCAGATTTTCCTGCAACGTCCCAAATTTTTGGCGACCTAACTCAAAATGAACAAAACCTATCTGGTTCTCTTTTTCCTTTTTTTATCTCTGCAGTCAGTGTGTAGGGCAAGCTCGGCATGATAATATTCGCAAGCGAAAGACCTATTATTCGCAATAAAATTACAAGAAAGCAATTTCGTCGAGTTAGCACAAAGTTGTTTCAAATATGAAATGACAGAACCTTCCGGACGACCTATTGTAATTTCAAAGAAGTGTTCACTTTTGTTTCAGGAGGGAGGACAAAAAAACCTGGAGATCATCTAACATGATAGCAGAGTTCAGCGCAATTGTGCGAAAAATTGGATATAACGCCATTTTTCAAAACCAAGCTTTAGAAATCTGCAGATAAGAAGCTAGGAATTTTTGCCTTCGTGAAAATATCCCAGAAATGTTGTTCCAAATCCAGGACTTAAATTGAAAGCGTTGACACCTAGCTATTCAAAGCTCGAATGCATAACTATGAATATTGTATTTACACGTGGTCAAACATTGTGATTTTTGATGGCTGCTGATCAAAGTGCGGAATAATGACATCCAACCTTGCATCTGATCCGTAATTATCTTCATAAAGTCCAACACCAATGTGTGTCCCGCGGGAAATTTATCTTTCAATTTTTGACCGAAAAGGCAACACTTGCTTCAAAGCGCAAGACTAGTGTTAGAGTTCCAGACACGATGTTATTAGTCGAGGTAATACCGTAAATGAATATAAGATTTAACTCATCATCGGGATTGGCCACCGATCAACGAGAAACTTAGGCTCCCTTGAATGATTAGCCAGAAAGTTGATGACGAAATTTAAATTTTGTCTTGGGTAGACTCCATGACTTTCTAGGAATGGAAAGATGAGGCAAGGAGGTGAAACGAAAAATGTGTTAGGGGCTAAAATAATCAATAATTGTTTTGACATGAGAATCTTTTACAGAACTTAGCTCTTTGTTATTTTAGATAAGATTTTTTTCTGTGGAGAAGCAGTATTTCTACTATCACAAGTAAATTTCATTTTTTAAATTGTTAACAAAAGGTAAGTCAAAACATGGTTAGCCTCTCAAAAACTCACTTCTGTGACTTTCTAAGTCCGTTTTCGTACAGAATTAGATGCGCAAGTGAGTTTTGGTGACTGGATAGATACAAGTCTTCGTTATTCGAATGAACAAAAATCATGAGTTGCAATATTTGATTTTTGTATTTAGAAAAAAAGGAATCTCTTCACATTTGCGCTCCAATAGAAAATTAGGGTATCTAACTCCTTGCACCCCTTACCCAATGAAAAAACCATTTTTGCCCAAAAAGTGCATCTTCTAATTTCTTTCCACTGACGACAAACACTGGACGAAGATCTGTCGTAACAAACGATCCCTTAAAGCGATCAAAATTTTTGTTTGATCAATCAAAAATTTATTTCCCAAAAAAATCCTATTGCTTCTCTTCGATGGGCATACGCCTGCAATTTATAAAACTACGTAAGTATTTGCTGTCCGTGAAAAATGTTAGCTCCCGTTGCTATGGTCATAGCGATCGCTCGAAGCTTCCTTTATTCCATAATATTTGACTACAAATTCATGGACTTGATGGATAACCTCGGGAGTAGGCGCTGCTCATATAGTACATGTGTATGAAACGGATGACCCAGTAATTGCCGACCACGTGCAAATAGAGGTTTTTATTTTAATGTATGTCCGGCTATTATCACAATACATGGTTGTTTGCTGAAAAGTGGCTATCATGAAATATCGAAAACCTACGTCGAATAAAATTTTTGCAAGAATTAGTTGAGGTTTGTGATGCGCTGGTGTTTATGCAAGCAAAAATTTTTTACCCGTATTATAAGAATGATAAGATTGTCACTTCGTACTTTTTTTGCACAAAAAGAATTTGAAACGAGATTGGGTTATTTTTGATGTACTGACATACGTATAACTTATGTCTATTCATTATTCAAAGAAAGTAACGAAAGCTATGTGCTGATTTTTGCAGATTACTGGTGCTCGCAATAGATAAAAGGAAAAATTAAAAGACTTTGATCTCCATCAAAGTCGATAGAGTTCCGACAGAGACAAACAACGAAGAATGCAAGGAAATGTTGTGATATTTCGAAAGAAAAACGTGGAAAATAAGATAATCTCAGAAAATGCGATCACTTTTATTTCGCCCAGGTAGCATGTGAATCAAAATATTTACAAACATGTTGTGCCCTTTTCTGTTGAGTTGGTCGTTTTCTTTCGAATTTAAGAGAAATTCTTTCGAGAAAATTCTTGAGATGCACATGGAAATGCTGTGGGTTTCTTGCAGTAATCTCCTCAAATCCCTTTTCCTAATCCCACCTCTCACCCCCTCACAACATGCACTGAAGACCTTGTTTGGTCTTTGCGTGTTGACTATTTCAACAAAAACATATGCTCAATATAGTTTCGAAATGCGAGTGATTTCTTGATTTGTAACTTGTAGGCTTGACGCTGTAAATATAAGCGCTTGATTAGCTATAGAAGTGCCTTGTAAGGTGAATTTTTTCTCTAGATTTGTTGAATAAGGATAGATTTGCAATTATTATAAGTCGTATTTCACATTTATCTAAGGGTGATAGGCTTTGTGAAAACCAAGGAAGCCCCATTGAAGGGGAGTAAGGGGAAGAGGAGCGGATTGAAGACGTGGTTGGGGGAGAAGGGAGGGAGGAAAGAGAAGAACACTATCTGTGCCAAGGTATGCTGAATCATAAACTAGAGATTTTTGCCCGTAAGGACATGGGTTTAGTTACAAAACGTGCTCATGAAGTCTACTCATCAAATTTGAGTTTGTGGATGCTCTTGTTAGTATGGCAATGTACTCAATTGTTTCTAATGATTATACCAATTTGACTAGGGGATCATACGCACAGCAAAATTGGTTAAAAAAATGCTGAAAACGTTGACACAAAGGTAGCAATTTGCTTTTTGAGCACTTTCTCAGACCAGCAAGTGCAGATAAATAATCAATTTCTGAAAGGCATTTACTACATAGAGCAATTATCAACCCTCTTTCTTTCTCGTCGTAAAAAAGCAAAACTGCTGTTTCAGCTCGATGGAGCAATACCTTACGTGATATGACATCAGATGAAACAGCCTCAATAGTGCTTCATTTCAGAGATTTTAAACCTTTCTAGTTCAATAGCTCTTTCGCGTGTTTTTTCTGTTCTTTGACTCAAAGATTTCATATTTAGTGCTAATGCAAAAATTGGCGTTTCAACCTTGACTTCCGTGATGGTGTGAAAGTTTGAGTAGATCTTATATCGGATAGATAAGTTCGTTGTAACAGATAGAGATCAAATTTTACCAGAGGAGAGAGTAAAAGAGGAAGAAGGAACGAATAAAAATGGGAGAGAAAGTCAAAAGAATAGTAAGACTTTTGACCAGATAGTGTGAATCTCTACATCATTTTTTTACCCTTCGCTTACTCTCAAAAACTTAGTAGAAATACTTGGCTGTAGTAAATTCTGTTGATACAAAACTTAAGAACCCATTCTCTGCAACCTTACTCATTACTGTATGTATATTCGTAGACGAAGTGAATCATAGATGTTGTGAAGTCTGGACAAAAACATAAATAAATTTTTGACTACCGTAACCCGAGCACGAATGCTGCTCGCATGCTAAACTGCAGGTGTTTTTCTGAACATTCCAGATGATTTCTGAAAACGCAGAATGTTGACAGTTTTCTCTGCTTTCTCATTTTATGTTAGATAGACTTAAATAGGGTGGAAAAGTACCATGATTCAATTAGCTTAGCACAGGGCTGAAGTAGTGAATAGCTTAGAGAGGAGGTTTACTGGCTGATAGAGGTTATACATTTCGTAAAGGAGGTGCATGTTATAGTGATAACTAAGTAGAATACAGAACAGAATGATAAAGAAAAATGTGGACCAATGCTATTATTGATGAATTGTATTCCGTACTCGCCTTTTTCTGATCGCGATCAAATTCTTTGACCTGCTTTAAGCTTGCTCCAAAAATCATGGAAAATCCATTTTGAGAATATCTGAAATATTCTTAGGGCGAACTCCTTCTAGTGCTTTCCAATCAGTTTGCATCATTTTGACATAAAACCCTGCCACTTACACCAAGCACTACTAGAATGTGCAAGATTTGAACTCTACGATGCACTGAATCAAAAAATTATCCACAAGCAATTACGATTTTGGAATTTTCTGTTGCAGCTAATAGAGCCACCTAATATGTTTAAACTGCTTCAGTTTTCACAAAAACGAACAAAACAGATTCGTTTCGTTAAGGGATCCAAGCATACAGCTTATTGTTATTTGAACCCGATCGTAGGTCTTGAAGTTGATTCAAAATCATAAAGGCCCTCACAGGAATTACAAAGACAAAAGATTATATGTCACGAAACGTCCAGGTTTTACAAGTAGAGAACTTATGTTGTTACAGAAATGTTATAGAAAGATAAATTCCTCTATTTTTTGCATAGGTCATTTCTGCCCGAAGCAAGTGAGAAGGTCCTTTTAATTAGTTTGTACGCTAGCTTCTAAACTTCCGCTACCTGCTAACCTGCTGGTAACCTACCATGTCTATTGACTCACCTGTACGGTAAAGCTCCAACGTAGTAATTTCCGAGATAGAAAGAATCTGCTAGAGAGATGAGCGCAAGCAATAGGCAAAGGCTACGAGACATGTCTGAATGAAGCTAGAGGAGGCGGAGCTCGAAGCCGAGCTGCGTTGGTCGTGAATCCACGGAGGAGGAGGATCTGAAAGTTGCCCGTAAACGGCCATTTACAGGATTTCCGAGCTTATGGGAGGGAGTGAGCCGGTAGGCTAGTTCTGCAAAAAGTCTAGATCAGAGGTGAAGTTTCGAGATGAGGACGCGAACGCTAAATCTTTGATCTCAACCAAAAAGGCTAATAATATTCTCATAACAATTCATTTTTCATTTAGTTGCACAACATATTCTTCACTTCAATAGGATATGGAAGGTAACGGATTTGCCAAAATTTGCTAAAGATTCACTTGTAAGAAGCCATCTGTTGATACCGTGAATTATAACCATTCGAAAGCAAATAGAACTATTACAAAATAGAGCATACATTCAAAATTGAAACCACAGTAATGCTAATTAGTCAAAGTAGAACTTCCTCATCTTAGAAACCAAAAGAATCCTAGAAAAGAAGACAATTGGACGGTAAAAGGAAAATTCGGGAGTCATTTCCGAAGAAAATTTCCGCAAAAATTCTTCATAAATTGTTCTAGATCGTATCTCCAATGAGGATCTAGAAAACCAAAAATTTTCGTCTAAAAAAGGAGTTCGACAGAATTTCATATTCAGATTTTCATCATTGTACTTTTTCACAGAAGAAACTACAAAAATTCTGCGTTATACTCATCCCCTAAAGTGTAATGTATTTACCCCTCCTTTTGTTGAATGCTCCTAAAGTTCATGTTACCCTTTGACCGCACTATTATTTGATAGAGGTGAGTTCTTTGTAAACTCCTAACTTGAGTAGCACACAGTCAGCAGTTTCTATAAAAGACATAACGTACTTATCGCGCATGACTTGAACAAACTTTTTCACTCGTTTCGCGAAAAACGGGACCTATCGCAGATTCAATGAATCAAATAACATGCACCTTGACTTATGATTGCCTGAATGTACTCAAGATCTTCTTTCTTTTTGAGTGCCCAAAATACTTTTTCGGTATTAGAGTCAGCATCCACCCTTGAAGCCTACATTCAGGACAGTTACTAATCGGATTGGGTTAGATTTTGCTTGAACACTGCCCTAAGGTTACGTGGACACGGATCGGGCAATGCATTACAAGAATATATGATTCAACGAAATCTGCGACGCGTGCACAACAGTTGGTTCTCATTTCCTACCAAATTTCAGAAAATCTTGACAAAGCTGTTTTACCTGACGGTTGTCTGCTAGTTCCGCGCTAAGCAATTGAGATCCACGAAATCGGTCCTGATCAAAAGTAAAAATGACGCATTCTAAATCTGCGCCTTGGGGCCGGTCAAGAATTTCCAAATTCGTTAAAGGAAAGAGTGGGGAAGCTGCAGTCTTGATGGATGAACCTCATCAAAGAGCAGACAATTTTTTTTCTAAATTTTTGTTCTCATGCAACACTGGAATTGCAGAGTTCAGCAGCTCCTCCGCATTGTACTCAACGATCTAGGCTTACGTTATGAGTTCGCACTCTATATACTCGAGGCTGAATGCTATTATTGAAAAAACTTAGTAGTGATTAATCACGTAGGATTTAAAAATAGCATAGCGCTTACCGTTATAGTATAAGGAAGCTTGCAGCTTAAATGTTGCCATTTGAGATCAGATTAAAAAAAGTAGGGATTACATTCACAGCAATCTCATGTGTATTAAGCACGAAAAACAGCAACCGTTGTGCTTTTAATTTGCTCTGGAAGTGCTCTCGCACGGAATATATGTATTTGTGATTGGGAGAAAATCTAATATATAAAGATGAATGTCTGTTTGTCTGCCTCCTGTTTGTATGTTTACGTGTAATATGTTCCGAATACAAGATTTTATTTCTGAACCAATCCGGACTTGACACACATACACTTTGGGGAGGGGCGGGTGTCGTAAGCTACTGTTTGTCTTTGTTCGATATTGATTTTATCGATTTGAGCCGATTTTGCCAGCTAAAGATTGTAGTTCATTCTCTTGCCAAAGTCCAGTAAAGTTTAGAAAATAGAGCAAATCGAGCTTGCATGCATAGCACGCTGACGTAAACAACTCAGTTATCTTGAATTGCAGGAATCAAGTTTTTCAACAGCTTTTACTGCACCTCTGCTAACAAATAATAGCACAGCATGTTGTTTCATACAGAAAAATTTATTCAATTCCTCAAGCATATTTAGTTTCTGCGTCATTTAGAGCACAAAGTAGAGAACATAACAGTCTGTAGGACAGTTGTAAATATTACTACAGAAGTGTGGAATCTCACAAGATCTGAGATTGTCGTTGAATGGGTATAAAAAGAGATTTTGGGATATGCTGTTTTCAAAGAAGCATGTTTACACTGGAAAACCGGAAAAAAGAAAGGAAGTCATAAGTTTATAAACCCTTAGAACTCAATAAATAGGAGTCAATTTATGAATTTATGAACGACGGCATTCATTCTTGAAAGCATATGTAACATAAAATATATACAAGTTTGGAAAAACATTACTATACTATGCTTTTTTTTGGAAGTGAAGTGACTTGAGAAACAAGTGCTTCCACATCAAAATACTGCCCTCAATCAATCAACTCCGGTGAAGCTGCCTCAATTCAAATCTCGGTCGTTTTGCGTGATGACAAGTCATTTTTAAAAGAAAGAAATCTCGAGTAAGAAGTGTCTACCCATTTGAAGAGCTTGAAATACACGTTGCAGATTGTTTCCATCAAAAAATCGAGCTGCACTGACGAATGCATGATCGTTTACATTCTTTAAGGTCCTAGGGACTTTGCGGGGGGGGGGGGGGGAAAGCTGATACGCAACTTTGGGATGTTGCAAACGCTCAGAAACACTTCGAAAAAATTTGCAAAAATAAGCACACGGATTTACCATCTACGTCAGTGTGTTCGACCGACTATATAGTAGGTACGAATGAATTGTTATAAAAGAATTTCTGTGGACCAAATGAAATACTCGTAAATTAGTCGAGCATTCTCGACAGAAAAATGTGTTGCACTTTTAAAACCCTCGATACATTTTGCACACACTCAGAAACATGATTTTTTCGGCATAGATAAGAAGTGATTTCTTCAAAAACCTCTGCATATTTTGACATCAAAAGTAGTAAAACGCAAAGAAATATTTAAGTTGCTTGTTCGATGAAATTTTGTGTCCAAGTTGCCTTTAAGTTCGCGCAGTTCCGGCACAGGGTCAAAATTCAAATACCCTCCACCCGCGAACACGACATTTTCTTCCTTCTGAATGTTTTGCGAACCCATTTCTCTCAAATAATTCTCCATCACGAGGGCATAACCACAAGGGCCAAGCGCAGAACTTACGGATCTAGCCAGAAGTTTGCTGACGCAAGGCCATATACCAGTGGAGGACCGGGGGGGGGGGGGGAGGGGGGAGGACTTTCAGCTCACACATACTCTCGAAAAGTTCTCGACCTGTTCCCAGCCTCCCCCACCCTCGAAAATGGGTCGCAAAATTTTGAAAGTGGTGTATGTAACCCATAAGCGCAAATGATTCGTCTTCACTTGTAAATGATGGAAGTATTTTATTGATTTTTTTCAATACCCAAAACAACACTTCACGCGCTATGAAGTGTAATTTTGAGTATTGATAAAATCAATAAATAAGCCCACCACGTTCCAAAAATCATCCACTCCGGACCAAGTATGGCGATATGACGCGAGTTTCGGTGAACTCCGGTAATGAGCGGTATGGTAGTCATCGTTCAAAAAATCAGCCTAGACAAGATGCTTCAAGGGAGAACGTGAACCAGCATTAGCATTCTTTGGAAATATCTACTTTAGTGATTCAAGACCTTTGAAGATTGATGACGAACTGCCGAACTCAAGGCAGGTGAAAAAGACTTCTTAGATGAAGCTCTTTTTCCTTAGAGGCTAGTCATCGGAGCCCACCAAAAAAAGAAAGCGATCAAAAATTGTCCTCATAAATTGCCCTCACTTTTGGAGGGTGGTCCACGAAAAAATTTGAGAGAAATATGGAAATTCAGAGCAATACATGGCGCCGCAGCTGGAATGTGCCACTTAAAACTTCAGAATGCCTTGTTTTCTCGACAAAATTTCTCTAATTGTTTGCTTTTTCTTCTAAAAACACAGCACATCTATTAACACACTAAAAGCTGTGTACTATAGAATAGCCCTTTGAAATTTTTCGCGTTCGAGGTACGGAAGAGATTCGTAAACAGGACATTCGAAAACTTCCAATTTTTGTATAGAATAAGGAAAATTTGATGAACTGTTTCTTTTTTGCAACAACTGCTACCTGGATTGAACTGATTCAGCAGCGGAAGTTTTCGTCAAAATGTCTTGCCGCTGCTGATATGAAAATTTGGCAATTGTATAGCTAGAGCTAGTAAAAAATTCAATCTGCAAGCAAAGCAAAGCAAACATTAATAGTGATTGAGATGCAGTCACAAATGTGCGAATCACAGAGTCCGCAGAATAGCAAAGAAAAGTATGTTTGAATGACATGTCGTTTCAAAACAAAAAGATCGGACGGTTTCTTGAAGTGCCGCAGGAGTGTTCTCCATAGTACATGAAGGGGTTACAAGGAACCGAGAAACAAAAAAGTTCGATTCCCTCTCTGTGTATTGATAGACTATTGGATACAGATTCAATAAAGATTCTCCCGCAGACAAAGATTTTCGCGCGCATATTGAAACTACACTAATGAATGCAAAAAAACATGAATCAAAACCTCAAAGGTGAGGTTGTGCTGAAGTGTCCAAATACATTTATATGGGGAGAAAATATAACGGACAAATCTGATGGACGAGCAACCTGAACTCGGAAAAATGAATTGTTGCTGCCGATAGTTCGCAGTTATACACATACTCTTAGTTATGGGGTAAAGGGGTAGCAGGGGTATCTTCGGAAACAGCATGTCCTATCTGACATGCTGTTTCCGAAGATACCCCTGCTTTCGCTTGGAACCTTCAAGTTTTTTTTGTTGAATCTCAAGCTTTTTTCGCAAATTTCGCTCTAAATCATCTAGACTGGAAAACAAACGGAAAAATCTGCTATGTTCAGGAAAATAAAATGAATAGTCGACCATATCTTGTTTCAGTAATTTTAGACCGAAAAACGAAAAAGGACTTTTACCAAAAAGTGACTTTGACATCGAACAAAAATGTGCTCATTCAGATCAAAAAAGGTAAGCTAGTTAGATTTAGGATTTGAAATTTTTGCCGGAAAATTGGTGAAAACAAGTTCGAATTTCAAAAGGAAAACCGGGGTTGTGAGCGAAACCACCAGCATAATCGAAAACAGCATGACAGAGCACCGCTAACTACAAATTCTTACCTCAATTGGACCAAGTTCAGCACTGAACTTTGAATTCGAATTTCGACAAAGTCATGGTTCCATAAACCGTAGGATAATGGCGGAGTTACCATGTGCAGAGTACTCGTCCAGGGTGCAAATTGGGTGCAAATTAGCGTTGGTGCCAGTTCATGACCCCTTATGAGCTTTACTATCTCCATGTTCTATCGAATGGTGTTTTGCAAGCTATTAGGGCTAATCGGTAAAAAATGGGGCACCTAGAGAATAAATGTAGATTTCTCAAAAAAGAAAAGTGATTAAACTTCCCAATTTTGATAGATGCTAGAAAAATTATTCTCTTTCAGAAAACACCTATATAAGGTCATTTACATACGTAATAATTTTTATAGTGGCTGAAATGCAAAGTTAGTCATTTTGACAAATTATAAACTTCGGGCAGTATCTGCGCAGTGAAACATGCCAAACCATCCAAAGTACTACTGCTGCAATGCATGAAGGTGCAGTCACCAGACCCACGATGGGTTGCTGGCCTCAACTTTCAGTTCAGGAGATATGGCCATTAGCAGCTTTGAGAACAAAGATGCGTGCTATTCAATTTTTTGCAGGTGAACGTATGTTTTATAGGTACCATCTGAAAGAGCTTTTTACGCTCTATCCATCCATGTGCAGCTTACCTCACATTTTATCTATCTTCGGAAAATACGGATTGAAACTTGATTTATTGGTTTTTGTTGCGCCAAAAAAATCGCGATTTTTCAGGTATTCGCTTTTTTTTACCCAGAAATAGAAAGAAATCCTGTATGTTTAATGAATTGTTTGAAAGATCATGAAGAGTTCTTTCGAATGGTATATCAATTGCTCTATAACTTTATGGTATGGCAGCGCAAGAATGAGAGATGTTCAAACCTTGTTCGAGTTCTTCAGTGCGCCACGCGTAGGGTTGCGGGAGAGGAGCGTTGACGCTTTAAGGTCGCTTACATAAGCGATGTTTACGTTGCAGCCTGCTTGTTGTTGATCGAAACAAAAAATCTCAAAATTCAATAAAAATCAAGCTACCCCATTTTTTACCGATCACCCTAGCACTTAGAAATGAGAAGTGTATGACTTATTGCGGTTGGAATTCAAAACCTGCATTAGTTTCCGGACAATCTAATAGTCTTTCAAAACAGAGGTTTTCTGTGATAGAAACCTTTGTCCACATTTTACTCATTTTTAGATCAGATAGATAAAGCTTCTGTAGTCTGTAATAATTGTTTGTTTGGGCAATCCCCTCCCCACTGAGCCTTTGTAGTGCAAAAGGGTAGCAAAAACATCAAGGGCCTTATCAATCTCCATGTACGTGAAGTAAAGGTCGCAGCCTAAGGCCCTGGGCATGGCTCACGCCTATAGTCGCCACTTCGAGCAAGTCGTCGCGATTTCGATCGCGACGACTTGCTCGAAGTGGCGACTATAGGCGGCGACTGAGTCGCTCATCGGTCGCAGGCGTGCATATTTCCGTCGTGATTTAATGTGCTTGCACTTAATGCGAAAACGCGCATAATTTGCAACAGCAATATTACAAGCAAAAACATTTATAACCTGCAAAACAGCAAGATACGTCAAAAACACGGTTTAGAAAACATGCGACGTCAAAAACACGGTTTAGAAAACATGCGACGTTGTCCCGTTGCTCGCCGCAAACGGGCGACGCGACATCGTGCCGATTCGGCAAAATCGCGATGATTTCGTCAAATGAGTTATGAACGTCGAAAAATGTGTAGCGATCCGTCGTGCCGCGCAGCCACCACACATTCGTCGGAGCCCACACACTTAACAGTGTGGCGCTTGGAACACTTGTCCAGAAGAGCAGGATGCGACGCGCGAAATCGCATTGGCTTTGCCCAGGGCCTTAGGCAGGCACTGCCCGCTGCCTCTTTCGTCGATATACATCAAATACGTGTAAATTTAACGATTTTGTCCCCGATATTGGCGATCGATAGTCGCTACGACTGGCAATCGCTTGTCGTCGATATTGGCGATGACACCGCCAGTCGCCAATACCGGCGACTGCACTTCACAGAGCTATTTATCGTAAGTTACCACACGGCCAAATCGATACGTACCAAATGTGTAGTCACCGAAAGTGTTGTTTTGAACGATTGATCTCTTTCGCAAGCGACCTCGTTCAATTGGCTCGGGGCCAAGGGGCGGGGCGAAGCGGCCCCGAGCCCTTGGCGGGATGACTGGTCATCCAGGCGTTTTAACGCGTACGGAGCGGTCGGCTCTTTCATCAGCAATATTCCGCTATGGACGACGACGATCAACACCAACAAGAGGATTTGGAAAGGATCCGCGAAGAAGTCATTTACGCCGAGGAGGTGGACCAGCCAAGGATTGAATCGATTCGACTCGACAAACGAGATTTGGAATGCATCCTCCAGGCGGTCAGGTCAGAAAGTCAACTTCCCAGTAGTTCGTCCGCGCCTTCCTTAAAAGGGAAGGTTACGCGAGACAGTATGATTTTAATCTTTCTCTCATTAGGAAGCTAATGCCCTTGCAGAACTCTGAGGGCGTAGGAAGCATCATAGCTTCAGTTGTGCAGGATCTCACGGTGCGGAACGACACGCTCAAGATCGCGGACGAACATCCAGGAGTCTTTCAATTTTTGGACATTAAGAGCAAATCGGACTCACTGAAGGTTACCGACCCACGTCTAAGCGAATTTCTTGAAGCAGTGAAGCCAAAGGAGGAATCCACAACCAGAAAAAGGAAACTCGGACAACCCGCGGCGCCCTTTCGCAAGCGGGAAGCAGCCTGGCCACCTGCTTCCCGCCATCCGGACCTCTTCTCATTCGAAGGCCCCTCTTCATACGACGCGCGGTTCAACACGTCATATGGGTATCCGTCATCATCGGACAGAAGCCGCTACAGGAGAAAATTTTCACCACCACGTCGCTTCTCAGAATACAGGATATCGGCTCGGGACCAAGACAGAAGGAAGAGTCAGTGCAGAAAATGCGGGCAAGAAGGACATTGGTGGAGGGAATGCCCATGCAACAAATGGTAAGTTCTTCGTTGGATCCATCCACCATAAAAGCCCCTTTTGGATGGCTCTCGAGCCAAGTACTCTGGTCACGACCACTATCTTGTCAGGTTACTCAATACCTTTCGACAACGTCCCAACTAAACCTCCCAGTGGTCGCAATCGGAGAAGTGTTATAAGGCATGCTGAATTTGTAACGGCGGAAATTTCAGAGCTCCTTTCGACCGGGGCAGTCCAGAGAGTAGCGCCGCATCAGATCTCTAGTCTACATATCCACCCACTCTCCGTAGCCACAGGTAAGAAACTGCGATTAGTGCTCGATCTCTCTCACCTTAATAAGTTCGTAAACGTACCAAAGTGTAAATTTGAGGATCTGAGCAAAATTTTGCATATTTTTCCTTCTCAAGGGTTCATGGCTACTTTTGATTTGAAATCTGGGTACCACCATGTGAGAATAAACCCATGTCACACCCAGTTTCTCGGTTTTCAATGGCAAGGTGTGACCTATCAATTCACTTGCCTTCCTTTTGGCCTCTCCTCAGCCCCTCACATCTTCACAAAACTACTCCGCCCATTTGTAAAGAAATGGAGGCGCATGGGATTGGGTTTTGCAGTGTACCTCGATGATGGCATTATCTTTGGCTCCAGTAGCCCACTCTGCTCTCAGGCAGTCAATATAGTCAAATCAGATCTTTCAGAGGCGGGATTTTTCTTTGCACATGATAAATGTATTTGGGTTCCCTCTCAAGTCGCCTCGTGGTTGGGTTTTGTGGTCAATTTGAAGGATATGTGGCTACAACTTTCACAGGAGAGAGTTACCAGAGCCAGGGATAAACTGAACAAACTCTTGCGAAGCGCTAGACCAACCTTACATGATAGGTTGCGATGGTCAGGAACATTGGCCTCGATGCATCTCATTATGAGCGTTACAGACAACCGCCACACAATGGCAGGAGCCAGGGAGATTGCAAGTGCCCAAGCCCAGGAGCGATCTCTCAGTCATAGATGGCCTTTATCCGCCCAAGAGTCGCGTGAGTTGCAATATTGGACGCATAGATTAAACTCTCCCATTATCAGATCTCTCATTCCCTCGGGAGTCGAAATTTACGATAACGTTTTGCAAACAGATGCCTCAACCCACTCGGTAGGCGCTGTTCTTTTAGATGCTCAGGGTAACCATTTGAGCACAACTCATAGGGAACTCCCTCAGAATTTGATTTTGGAATCCAGCACGGCTAGGGAGCTATTCGCGATCGTCTTTGGCCTGAGCACATTCGCATCGCACGTTGACGCGGGGGCTCTAGTAATTACGGACAGCCAAGCCGCGTCAGTAATTCTGGGAAAAGGTAGCATGTCTCTCATGTTACCTGAGCTGGCGGAAACTGTCTGGGACATAGAACAAAATAGAGGCATAAATATTATAGTAAAATGGATTCCTCGCGAACAGAACTTGGAAGCTGACTGGGCTAGCCGATTAATTGATTACGATGATTGGAGAATAAGTAGTACCATTTTTGAACGCCTTTCGAACAGATGGGCACCCCCAACATCGACATGTTTGCTAATGACAGAAACACCAAATTTGATCAGTTCTTTTCTAGCCTCACATGCCCCAACACAGCTGGAGTGGACGCGTTCAAGCAAGTCTCTGCATGGACAGATGGGTTCTTATGGTTAGTTCCCCCCGTTTCTCAGTGTCTGAAGCTTTGAAATGGGCTCGTTTTTATGGATCTTAGAGGAATTTTAGGTTGTCCTCCTTGGTTTTCTCAGTCTTTTTATCCTATTCTCAAGCCCGATGGTGAGCACTGGGCTACTTTTGTGCGGGACGCGGTGCTTTTTCCGGTTGGCACAAAACTTTTTGCAGATGAGGGGCTCCCGGGAGCTTTTGGGTCTCAGATTGCAAAATCGCCTTTTTTGTTCGTGCTGGTAGATTTTCGTGACTTTCAGTCGCCTCGCAAACCCATCAATTTTTAGTCCCCAGGCTTTGTTTATCCACAGCTCCTGTTTTGATCAATAGTTCAAAACGGTATTTATACCAGAGTATAACGGAGGTATAAGTGTTGTTTTGAACGATTGATCTCTTTCGCAAGCGATCTCTTTCGATTGGCTCGGAGCCAAGGGGCGGGGCGAAGCGGCCCCGAGCTCTTGGCGGGATGACTGGTCATCCAGGCGTTTTAACGCGTACGGAGCGCCCTCCCGCCCGCCTGAAATTACGGAGCTAATAGTTTTCTTTTTTCAGCACCTCGGTTCGAAGAAGGAGCGGCGCTCGCATCTGTAGCAGAGCAGTTAGGTCTCCAGAATGTTAGCAGAACAATCTACAAGGCGCTACGCTCAGACAGGGCGTCTTCTACCTTCGCGTGCTACAGCGCCGAACTGAAGAAGTTTCTGTCCTGGAAGGGGAGTAACGCCCTAGCAGCTATTCCCCTCGAGAAGGCGCGAAATCTTTATTTAGCGAAATGTGCACACGAAGGTAGAAATAAGTTCTTTACCAGTATTAACTGCCGCCCTCAATTATTTCTGTGGCCCGTTGATGGAAGTCGATCTACACATCCAGCAGTCGATATTAGAAGCTGAATGCAGTTCATCCGAAACCACACATCGGACAAAAATCGCCCAACAATCAATGCGGCGGCTGGTTCTGGAGGGATTGGACTCTGCGGAATACAAGGTTACACAGGCAGCGGCGCTTGCTCTTCTTCAATTTAAAGCATTTTTGAGAATCAGTGAGGCTCAGGCCCTTCGGTCAGTAGACCTAAATTTTGTGGGAGGAGGATACTACAGCCTAAAAATTCAAAAATCCAAGACGGACCAACACAGCAAGGGAGCGGTTATCAAGTTTCACTTGGACAAGGTCGAAATGGCATTGCTGCGCAAATACCTAGATCAATGCGCCGGCGCTGTTTACATCTTTCAGTCCATGTCCACAGGAAGGCCTCTCTCTTGCGCAACCCTGAGGATAGGCTTAAACTGCTTTTCAGGGTTTGTAATTTGGAACATTGCAAATTTACCTCTCATTCTTTCAGGGGTGGGGCAGCTTCGCTCGCTCTCAGCCTAGGTGCCGAACAAACCGCGGTGATGCTGGCCGGTAGATGGAAAACGATCAACGCCTTTCGATGCTACGTTGCTCCCAAGGCAATTCCACCACCAACAGACCCTACCTCCAGCGGTGTGTTGCTAGTAACCCATTTATTTTGTTGCCTCAAGTTTGCCCAAAGTCCCCCGGAACTCCTGTACTGATTTTCACATTTGTTTTTTCACTAGGTTTGTTGCACGAGAGGCTCGCCACCTTTGGGCTTGATTCTACCTCATTCCATCATTTCATAAAGTACATTTGCCCGTTTCATTGCAACTATTTACCTCGCCGCTCTCTGGCAGTATTAGATTCCTCACATCTGTGTCATCACAGTATAACCATTGCTATTCCGTTTCTTGTGAAAGAATCTCGGTCATCGGGGTTGCTACTGTATAAGTGCCTACTGGTTACTTTCGACCTCGTAAGGTATTTCACTGCCTCGTATGTTGGTTATTGATCCCATTCAACAGCCTATTGGGAGATCCGTTTCTGCCTGTATTATTCTCATGGTTATTCTCGAAAGTATTGATGTAATTCAGGGAACTCCATATCTTTGTAGAAATAGGCTTTATGCCGGAGGTCATTTATTGATTTCGTGTATATCACTGCTATGAATGCTTGGAATAGAAGCATATGAACTTGATCTCTCATGTACATTCCTAGCCGACTCTATCTGCTATCTCATTCTCATGCTCGTGGTTTATTAACATCTCAGGTAGTGCGATCTCGCGCTAGATCTGAATTGTATGCCAAAATCGTTATCTGTTCGATTCTGTCAATCCCGAGGTTTAAGATGTGTGCGTCATTATCTTGTACCACTGTGCCATAACCCACATATCTCATACAGTTATATGCTCCGATTACGCAGACCAATAAACCCTGATCCACAAGCTTTTGTTTTGATCAATAGTTCAAAACGGTATTTATACCAGAGTGTAACGGAGGTATAAACTGACAATCGACAATCGCTAGTGCTGGCGGCCGCCAGTCGCCAATGTTGGCGACTCCACTTGGATGCGTATCAACTGGACATGTGGTAACTTGTTAACGACCGATGCGTATAGGAAATATATTCGCCAATATCAGCGACTGTCGATCGCCAGTTGTAGTGATTGGCGTCCACCAGTCGTGGCGACTGGACAAGTAAAGACATGCCAGCAGTCGATAGCTATCTAACAATAAGAAACTTTAGCGATTGGCGACCGCCAGTTGTAGCGATTGGCGATGGCGATGTTATACTCCTCGAGAGGTATAGCGCCTGCCTAAGCTCGAGCTCATTTGATTCCGCAAGCCATTGATCTATTGAGTTGTCTCATGATTAAAGCACGTTTTTCTAACCTCTTTTTGAGAGGGCTGATTTTCAAAGAAAAAACATTTTTCTTTAAACTCCTTATAGTGTCGGAAAGCCCGATTCCTCTAGTTTCTAATATTTGCTTTCGTTTTCGCAAATTTTCGTTTAAGCCAAAGTTTCATGCCTTCAAAGACAAGTGATTAAAATATGAAATTCTTGCCCTTCACTCTCCTTGCTCAAAATCCGTGAAAAGTAGACGGATTTTGTTCAAAAAATATGCGTAATGATCGCGCTTTTTGCTAAAAAACGCTTGTCAGTACGAGGTTTTTGAGAAATTCCCAGCTGAGAAATCTTGTCTCAAACTTGGCTGGTAGCTGAGGCCCATCTAAGCAGCATAAAAATCTCAAGCGAAAGCGACTGCATAGATCGCTATGTACATACACGTAGAGTAGATCTAGTGCAACTAATTCTAGGAAAACGGCAACATTTTATGCCTTTTCGTAGAGAGATGATTTAAAAAATCCCAAAAAGGCAGTTTTTTGGATTTTCTAAAATACTGGAAAAATGGGCACTTCGATTTTTTTGCAAATTTCTCACAGAAATATGCCGTAAAATTCAAACTTCACTCCATTGCACAACCGACCATCGGCTATATAATGA